GAGAGCGCAGGGGTGGAAGAACTACGGATTACGTGAGAGTGGAGGGGTGGAAGAACTACGGATTACGTGAGAGCGGAGGGGTGGAAGAACTACGGATTACGTGAGATTGTGATGAGAGTATATTGGTGCTTGTTGTTGTTTGAGATGGCATTGGCATTGTAGTGTTGGTAGTTCGTGATCATGACCGGTTGTCGAACACGGCACCATAACTTGGTGAGATGATCCGTGGTGGGGGCAGCATCATCGAGTAATTGTCCGTCGCCTTGTGTAGAGTGTGTCACTCAAGGGTCCTTTCATTGCGAGTTTGCAAGTGCACGCTATACCTTGAAAGTCAACCTTATTCGGGCGCATCTGGTTGGAGAAGGGCGGTGCATGGGAAGCGCCCTGGATGGAAGAAACGCATGCTGTGGTGATTGGATAATGCATGCATGCACTGATGTACGAGCTTCAACCTGCGTGCTAGAGCTGATCAGTTGGATGGCCAATCGTCCTGTTTGCGACTACTGCAAGCATTCCATGGTTTTTCTCCGCGGAGTAAAGTGCAATAACCCGCTTCAAATGGCCCGAAGTTGCCCTGGGCACACACAGGCTGTGACCCCGGCCTGAGGCTGCGAGGAGCCAGGGGACTAAATCCCCCGAAATTGGCCTCAGGGCCCTGTGCGCCCGACAGTTGACTTCGGTCAACTGCCCAGCGCCCCAAGAGGCAAAGTCTGCGTGGACCCAGCCCAGGCCGCCGGTCAGATACACACTTGTTTGTATGCAGGTACCAAGACAGCATTAGGAACAAGTGGAAGTCTGCAGCTGTATGCGATCCAGGCCGTCGGCTGTGAGTCAATCTGAGCCGCTGTGGGTGGGAGACCTGAGGCAGGTCAACCTGGTCAAATGCTACAGATCCAGCCTCCAGGGAGTCTTGCTATTCTGGCTTGATGCTGTCTTGACACTAGCTGGACGCTGGCATTGACGCTGGTTTGATGCTGGCTTAATGCTGGTTGTACGCTGGCACTGAGGACGACAATGCGAGACTGCTGTTTGCATGCTGGCGCTTTCCTGCTTTGGCGCCAGCCTCTGCCGACGTGGTGCAAGCCATGCTGTCTTTGACATTGCAGATGTGGCGCATGCCAGTTTGTTTTCACTGATGACATGGCATTGGCCACACTGTCTTCATTGCAGAGTTGAACGCGACAAGAAGGGAGATCGGGATCTGTGGATGATTGAGAGAGAACGTGATACTTACCTGCTGTTGATGTCGATATTGTGCATTGCTGAACGTCTTCACGGGAGAACTGTGCCACGTGGCACTGGTGATGTGATCAGGCCCTGTCAGGCTCGATATTGGACACTGTTTGCTGACGTGGAGGCAAGCGGGATGCTCGGAGAAAGCCCAAGTCCGTCACCAACCTTGCCCGCTTCCAGACGGACTGCAAGGAGCCTTTACTCCGGAGGGAACGTGATTCCACGATACACAAATGGGGTCCCATTGGTTGCAAAGCGCCGAGGTATCCCAGCAACCCTACCCACTTCCTGATGAACACGAAGGAGCCTTTTGTAATGAACCCAATCATGAGGATACTCTTCAAGTGGAGAGAAGGTCAACAACAGTCGTATTTTTCATCACCACTTCAGGACACCCTTCACCACTTCAGGATGCAGCCTGCCTAAACAAGTGGTTTTTCGAGTCTTCGGACCTTTCACCACTTCAGGATCATTCAGGTCTGAAAATCCTGAATGGTCCTGAAGTGGTGAAACCTCCGAAGACCCTGAAAACCACCTATTTAGGCAGGCTGCATCCTCAAGTGGTGAAGGGTGGTTTTCATGGTGTTCGGACCTTTCACCACTTCGGGACCATTCAGGATTTTCAGACCGTCCAAAACTCTCACTTGACCACTTCAGGACACCCTTCACCGCTTCAGGATGCAGCSTGCCTAAACAGGTGGTTTTCAGGGTCTTCGGACCTTTCACCACTTCAGGACCATTCAGGATTTTCAGACTGCCCAAAACTCTCACTTCAGAATTTTCATTCCTGAATTTTCAGCGACCCGATAACCGCTTGTGGAAGCCAATCGCCAACGTCTTCCCTATCCATTCCGCGCCGACGACCTTGTCTCGGTTTTCGCCGTGGAATTCAGCCTCGAACAAGATATCTCTCGAAAGCTCCTCCGGAAATGGATGGGGCCTTGGCCGATTGTGGCACCCGCTGGGGATGCACCCGAAGGACCTTCTTTCACCATTCAGGTGCCCGCCCACTTGCCCGTCTACATGGTTTTTCATTGCTCCAAGTTGGCTCTTTACACGCCAGCGGAACTTGATGATTTTCCCGGACGACGATCGCAAGACCCACCCTCTATGGACGTTTTTCTAGAGGTCGCCAACATCATCTCCCAGGGACACCATGGCAACAGGCCAACCGAGTACTTCGTACACTTTGCGTACTGCAGTCACCGAGCTGAGCGTTTGTTGACCCGTGCGGAACTCCAAGCAACAGCCCCAGATGTTCCCACATGCTACAAACACAAGATGCAAGGCAAGCCGGTATCTTCGGCTCCACGTCACACCTGCATCCACATTCCACCTTCAGATCGTCAGCTTCGCCCTCGCCCCGGCTCAACTTCATAAGGAGGGGGGGGTGTTACGTGCTGCGCCTGCAACAGGCTGCATGGGCCACTTTCAGGCCCGTGACGTTTTCAGGCCAAAAGCCTGAAAACAAGGGCCTACAGGCCCCGTGTCGTCTCAGCCTGAAAGCCTGAAAACAAGGGCCTACAGGTCCTGTGTCGTTTCAGCCTAAATCAGGGCCTTTCCGGCCCTGAGTCTTTTCACCCTGAAACTGAGGGCCATTTTCAGGCCCTCATGAGTTCGGCCTGCGCCGAAACTCGGGCACCAAACCAGGGTTTTAGCTCAGGCCATTTTTGGCCTATTTTCGAGACAACCTTCGTTTGAGCTTCAACCCCAGGGTCTGGCACGTTTTGGCATCGGCAAGAGCAGCCTCCTGGACGGGCCAGCACTATAAAGGACTGGACCGCCCTGCGCTTCATGTGCACTTCAGGAGGCAGGAGGTAGTCTTCAGGATTTGGCAGCAGCGCTCTGGAGGAGCGTTGCAGTAGTAGTAGTAGTGTTAGCAGTAGTCTTCAGCGCTGGGCGCTAGTAGCGTTAGCTGTAGGCTGGGCGGCATAGCAGCTAGAGTAGTACTATAGAGGGAGAGATTGGGCGCCAGGGGGATTTACCTGCAGCGCCATCGCTCCATCTTCGGCTTCAAGGTACCTGCAGCACAGCGCCGCCTTCACAGGTTAGCACTTGGCATATGAGAGAGAGAGTTCTTCTTCGTCCTCTTCTCAGTCCACCATCTCCCTCTCACCCTCTCGTTATCTGACTTCACTGCATCAGCAGACTATGTGTGTGTGTGTGTGTGTGTGTGTAAGAGAGAGAGAGAGAGAGAGAGAGAG